ACTTGTTTGTGGCACCACGCGGTGGCTACGGTTCCAAAAACTCGTAAATTCCAGTCGTCACTGAGAGTGGAGCCTGAGTGGGGTCAGTAACAGTTTTGCCCATGAAAGCACAAGGCTTTAAGGTAAGTGAGGCATTCTTTCAGTGTGGACAGTCCCAAAAATCTCTGCTGTGGGCTATCAGAACCCAAAGAATGTGAGAGATTTTGTGGACACAGGTTTGTCCAGAAAGAACCCTGCCCTGGGCGGTCCTAAGGACGTGAAAATGCACAGACCCACACAGACAGGGAGAACAGTTGACTGGGGCTGCCCAGTGCCAAAAGTTCCCCAGGGAGTGCTCACCTGAAATCAATCTGGCCGATGCTGAGTGCAGGCAGCTGGCGACAGGGATGTCTCAGGAGAGGAAAAAGCTCGGGATTACTCCAGGATGTTATCTGGTTATCAGCTAGGGGACTAAACTGAGTGTGTCCCAGGAGTCAATCTCCTGCCGATCGAGTAATGAGAAGTATAAAATAAAAAGCGGCCTTTATTCTGAGAACATGGAGAGAGATGACCGGCACCCCCACCGCTGGCGTCCGGCGATCTCTCCGGCTGACACATGGTGTGGGGGCATGTAAATAGCCTCGGTTTGGGGTGGAACCTAAGGCGGCATTAGGGATGTACTGTAGCCCATTGGTCCTAAGTTTGACGCCATATGTAAATTTCCAGGGGCGGGAAGATGGTGTCACAGGTAACTTCCTAGGGGCAGGGGAGATGGGGCTTCCTGCTTCCAGTTGAGGTTTTCCTGGCTACGGTGTCCTGTCTGGGCCAAAACCCTTTCAGTGTCATGTTACGAATTAAAAATTAATGGTCAACTGAACACCAGCTGAATTAAATCAGCATGATGTTGAGTGTAGATGTTCCACCTGAGGAAAGTTGCCAGCATAAATAGACATGAAGAAGGAGAAGCTAGGTGTTGTGGGTTTCTCTAAATGTTGCTGTTTTGAGACGTTGGTTCTCCTGTAGGAGCTCATCATGACTAGCTTCCCCAGTGTGAGTTTGACCATTGTCATCAGAGGAGCTTGGGGCCTTGTTGGTGAGAGTGGCTGTGTGATAACTCGGACCTCGGTATGAAATTCAAGGAAGCAAGAAATTAAAATTTGGGAAGCAAAGGCTTTATTTCCAGGCCTGGTGACACAGTCTCTCTAGGGTCAACCCAAAGACTGCACACCTGACAGCTAAAAGTCAGGGCTTTTATCTTGTAAATCCACAAACAGCTGCTGGTCACACAATGTAAGGAGGGGGGTGGGGGTGTGGCACACTATGGAAATGGCGATTACACGTCTTGGGAAGGGCAACATCAGGTAAGGGTTGTGCTAACAAGCAAGTCTCCCTGCATACTAGCAAGTTTAGATAAAAGAAATCTTGTTTTTCTTAGCAAAGAATAGAGAAATCTAACAGCAATTGACAACCTTAGTTACCTTGCTTAGCACCACAACTGTTATTTGTAGAGGGCAACAATGGTTAACATATCAATTAAGTAAGATTTTACAATTCTTCACACAGGAGAGCATTGATTAACATATCAATCCTTTACCCAGAGGGAAAAGGAACACACAGGTATTGCTATGATACAAACGAAGCTATTACAATCTAATGCAATTAGCACAATTTGTGACGGGCTACCGGGTAGAGAAGGGGTTGTCAGGAGCTATTACCTCAGGCCTTTGTTTTATGGCTTTTTAGGAAGTTAAAACTTAACCTAGTTAGATTTGAAGGGGGAAGAGGAGGGAAAGCAGCAGGTGGGCTATACAGAACAGGCTTCAAGGCGCGATAGTTAGGGGGCCTTAGGTTATTACAGCTGTGGTTCACTTAGGGGAGCTCTGGTCCTTAACACTGATCATCGCTTCCTAGCTCTGGAGAGGAAGATATATGCCTTTGAGTCTCCAGGACAAACTCCTCTTACTGGCTTCCTGGCATGTACTTGGCAGTTCTTACCGTCTGAGGAGCTCAGGGCCTCTGTGTTGCTAAGGATGGCGGTGGTGCTTTTCAGGGCAGCTCTGATCTTTTTTTGAGTGTGAGTTCTCGGCTCCAGTGTAGAACCCTCAACCTATGAGCACAGCTCCTTCAGCCCACTGACATAGACTTTCTAGCTTCCACTGCTGACCTTTGGGCCTTCTCAGCATAAATCCATAAAAGAGACTGGGCCTTCTCAGCACAAATCCATAAAAGAGACTGGCATGAGTCCTTCTTGTGGACTTTAGACCTCTAGTTGAACTTTTGAGAGGCATTGTTACAGGCTCTAGGTCTTCATCTGGACTCATGTAGGACATTGCTGTGGGATCCAGGCCCTTCGCTAAATATTCTGTCTTTAGTGTTGTAGGTGGATTTCCTGCACTTCCTTGTGTTAACTCTGGGTGACCATCATATACGTGTCCTGATTCTAACTGTTCTCTGTACAACCTCTGACTACAATATGTCATGTCCTCCAGATTCATCCCTGTGGTCACCAATAACTTCTCCCTTTTTAAAACTTCAGTCGTGCCTGCCTTTTAAGGCAGTTACATTGTACATTTGTACCACACTTGCTTTTTCCATTCATTCAGGGATGGATGCTTAGGTTTTTTGTACATTTTGGCTATTATGAATAATGCTGCAATCAGTTTATTGATTATTGACTCACTGATTTCAGTTCCTTAATATATACAGAATTGACATTACTAGATCGTATGGTAGTTTTTTAGTTTTTTCCAAAACTTTGTTTTCCAAAATGGAGTATTACATTGTATAGCCGCATTGTTACATGAGAAAGAGTCCATTTCCTGTGCATCCTCTCCACTACATCTCTTTCGTCTTTAGAAAAACCATTCTCTCAGTTGTGAGATGGTACCTCACTGTGGTGTTCACTTTCATTTCTGTTCATTAACAAAGTCATTTTTTTTAAAGATAGCAAACCTTAGCTAGACTTTAAAAAAAGACATCAAATGGAAAAGGCAGCATTGCAACCAACACAACAAGAATACAAAAAATCATAAGGTTATGAAAAATTACAAACTTGTGAGTTGAACAGTTTAAAAAAAAATGGGTAAATGTGTAGACACATAAAACCTAACAAAATGAAGAAAACAAAATCTGAGCAGACAATGACAAGAATTGAACCAGTAATAAAAAATCTCCTGTCAAAGAAACATCCAGATAGTAGTATCTTTATTGCTGAATTCTAGTAAACATTTAGAAGTATTGCCAGTACTCTTCCAAATATATTGAAGATGCCTAAATTCATTCTACATGGCCACATTACCCTGACACCAAAACCAAATAAAGATAGCAAAAAAGAAAACTACATACCAGTTCTCTCTGAAGAAAATAGATGCAAAAATTCTGAACAAAATACTTTTCAAATGAATTTAACAGCATATTAAAAGATCATTAATCGTACTCAAATGGGATTTATCCCTGAGGTACAAGGATAGTTTTAACATAAGCAAATCAATAAACATGAAATTAATACATCAAATTAAATAGAATGAAGGACAAATCCATATGATTATTTCAGTAGATACACAAAAAGCATTTGACAAAATTCAGCCCTTCATGACAAAACTCCCAATAAGTAAGAGTAAAAGCATTACAATGCAACATAGTATGAGCCAGTTCTGAGTAACCCAGAAAACAGGAAAAAAGCTAAGACCTTTTCCTCAAAGATCAGGAACAATACAGGGATTCCTACTTTTGCCTCTTCAACATAGTACTAGAAGTCCTGGTCAGGGCAGTTAGGCATAGTAAAGACATCTAAAATGGGGAAAAGGTAAATTATCCTTTTTCTCTGTGTGGACAGTCAGAACACAAATAATAAAAGCTTTATTTTTTTCCATTCCTTTCATTTTCCTTTTCCATCTTCCTTATTCACCGGGTGAAGCTCTTTATGTGTCATTGAATAAAAATGAAGGTTGCAGGTATATTTTTGCCTTAATTTTCCAGTCTTTAATTTGATGCTTCCAATGTTTTACAGTTACATATGAACTTCAGTAAGTTTTTTTCAGAAAGACTTGAATAGGAAATCAAAGAACTTCTCACTTAATCTTTGTTTGCCAAGAGTTTTTATTGCAACTGAATATTGAATTTTATAAACTACTTTTCCTTACATAGGTGCTGTTTAATTTGCATAACATTTTTCTTTTCCTTCAGACTTTCTGGGAAGGACTACTGGGTAATGCCCTCTGTAGCACTGCTTTGAGTCAGTCCCTGTTGGAGGGAAACTTCAGTAGTCCATAAGTCTTTTACTTTGTGTACTTTTCATCATTGAAAATGTTTTCACCTGTTTCGCCAGTAAGGAATTTGGGGTTCTGAGTTTCTGTTTTTCCATTGTCTTCATGGTTTACTCTTAATTATTAGAATTTGCTGCATATAACTTGTCATTGAACTTCAAAACACTAATACCCTGACTGTAGAATGGCTTTCTGCTTAATTAACCCTTGTGAATATCGAGCATGTAACTGAGACATCAGATGTATTTTTTTTAATCTTGCCTCATTCAACGATGTAAGGCAGTAGGAATTTCAGAATGAAACAACTTTTGTCTTTTTTGTTTTCTCTTTTCTTTGTGTTCTTTTGTACTAAGGATTGAACCTAGGGCTTTTGTACTGAGCTACACACTCAGCTCTTTTTCTGGTTTTTTTTTTTTTTTTTTTTTTTTGGTTTTGAGACAAGGTCTTGAGAAGTATATTGCCCAGGCTAGGCTCAAATGCAGAAACCTCCTTTCTCAGCCTCCCAGAGTGTTGGGATTAGAACTATGTACTACCACTCTCAGTTTAAATACACAGTGTCTTTCTGTAGACATAGAATGAAGCAAAGAAAATACTACCTTGTTACTGATTAAACTACAAAGGAAAATTATTTAATTAGATTTTCTTAAAATACTCAAAGTTAAAATAATTGTCATTTTGTAAATATGGAATCTAGACTTCATGTTGATTGGGACCAAACTCTTAATCCTTTTTTGATTTTTGGCGGTTTTCTTGTAGGATATGATGTCAGCTATAAATGTTGGAAAGAAGACCATTTATTTAGTTTCATTCTTTGAAGGTCTGCAGCGCATTATTTTATTCACTGAAGATGCAAAGGTGTTTAAAGCAACGTATGAAAGTGAGAAAATGGAGTTAGCAGAGCAAGAAATTATACTGGCTTTACAAGATGTTGGAATTTCTCTTGTCAACAATTACACAAAGCAAGAAGTGGCTTACATAGGCATTACGAGGTTAGATGTGTTCGGTTTGGGGTGAATTTAATCAGTTCTTAATCATTAAATTATTGTAAAATGATTTATTCAGTTTTTGTTTTTCAGCTATTTCTCAGTAATAGGTAATTTGAATTTGCAAATATATTTGAGTCTCTTTCCCACTCTGAGATAAAAATGCCAGAAACAAGATCTATAAATCTCTTACTATGTTTTTAATTTTTTCATTGCTCAAAAAAGTTCAGTCTATTTAACTTAAGAAAATTATTCTTTTTCAACATGGTATTTAAAATTGCCTGTTACCATTTACAGCAGTAAAAGATACATAGTAGATGCTTTGTAAATAAGTGTTGAAGGAATAAAGAAACTCATTTCTAATTTGACCTTGGCACTTTAAGATAATCATTGTATTTATAATTTGTCAAGCTCTTATCTCTCAAGCCTTTACAATGTCTATTCATACACACCTGATTTATATTTCAGTTTATACACACACACATTAGTACTTAATGTGAGAGCATTCCTGTAGTATATAAACTGTAGCAGTATAGTTTTAATTCTTCAGCTAAACTCCAAAACAATATTAAAGATACATGCTACTGATATAAATTTAAGCTCTGTGTAAATTATTAGTGCCAACTGCTCATTGAATAGAATAAATGTCACTTAAAGAGGAACATTAAAAACAATTGTGTCACTCTCAAAACCATAAATTTTATTAAATAAAAAGGTCAAATAGATAACATTTTTAAATGCAGTTACTCTGTGTGTTCTCTCTTAAGGTAAATTATATGAAGGCAAAGATAACCAATAGGTGATCTACATTTCTACCTAATAAGTAAATATAAATGTTGGAAACAATAAACAAATATTTAAGTAAAATTAACAATGTAAATGTTAGAAACAGTAAAAGTTACTCAAATAAATTTTATAAATTAAATATGTAAATAACAGTGAAATTATTTCCAAGAGTAAATTTTTTTATTTGATAAACTTATTTTTGTCCACTGTGGAGAATCAGAACCAGGGCTTGCTAGGAAAATGCTCTACTGCTAAGCCACCTTTCCAGCCTTTTGTTAGGTCTTTAAATATTTTGATTTCAATACATTTAGATATCTCTCATTCTCAAATTCACTTCTAGATGATTTTATATTTTGCCTCTTCTCAAATCCCATTCCCCGTCTCAGTCACTATCTTGCATCACTGAGAAAAGTGAAGCCATAAAAAGCAGTCTTATACAGCTCCACCTCACCCCGTAGTATCATAACTTCCTAACTATAGGCTTTGGTAGCTGACTAAAATATTTCTCCAGAGTTGTCATAGGTAAATCTTAGGTGCTCCCTTTTGAACACTGTTTTCTACTTTTGCACTGTGTTTCATTCATTCTTATCTATGTGGAAACATTTATTCCAGTCCTCTTTTTGTTCTAAGTCGACAACTTCTGCCTCTTCTGGATTGTTGGCATCTGTGTTAACTTCTCTCAACTTAAGAAAAACAAAAATAAACTAAAAAAAAAAACATATAATACAAAATGTATTTTTCTGAGCCCACTTCTCTTTACCTACTTTACAGGCAAGATCCTCAGAACTGTGTGTTGCAAAGCAATTTAATATAGTCAGTATCTCCAATACATTTTCATCCCTTTTTTTCTGTAACCACTCCAATGTCTAGTTGTTAGCACATTGTAAAACTTGTCTTGACAAGATTACCAGTGCCAAATCTAGTGGAATTACCAGTGTTCTTATTACTTGATAACATGTAATAGAGGTTCTCTTTGTACATTTTCTTTCATTTCAACTTCATTTGACTAAGTTGACCATCTTAGTTTTTCTGCCCTACCTCAAAATTCTCAGACTCACGGGTTGGTTCTTTTTCAGCCTCTCAATGTCTCATGTTGGGTACTCTGAGGTTCTTAGATTTTGAATCTTGTCTGTTTCATTTTTCATTACCACAGTATGTCTCAAATTTATTCAGATATATCTGTCTTCAGCTCAAACTGTTTTCTGAACTCTTATATATGGATATCTAACTGCCTACACAAAATCTTATCAGGTATCTAGGAGATAACTTAAACTTTGTATACATTAGCATCAAACTCCTTGTTTGCTTCTCCTACCAAAACCTGCTTCCTCACAGGAATTATCATGACCAGCCCCTTCTGGTTTTTGGAGTCATCTTTGAATCATCTCATTTTTTCACACCCCACATTTGTTTCATGTAAAAGTTCTGTACTGGCGCTACTTTCAGAATGCACACAGCGTCTGACCACTTTTGGTTATGTAAGTGTTAGCCCTCTAATCGGACCCCTCACCACGTTTTGACTCTTACTGCATTAACTCCTAACAAATTGTCCTGCTTATAGCTTTGACTCTGTTTTCTGCCCCACATCCAGATTCATAAGTGCATTCTATTTTGGTTTTTGTTTCAGGGTTTTGTTTTTTTGTTTTTGTTTTTGTTTTTTTTTTTGTACCAAAAATTGAAAGCAAGACCTTATGCTTGCCAGGCAGGTGCTTGTGCCACTGAGCTGTATCCCTGGCCCCATCGTGTATTCAGACAAAGCAGTAAGCAGGTTGTGTTGCCAATTTAAACCCAGCAGTTCCTTAGCTCACTCAGAATAAAATTTACATTCTTTATAATGACCTGCAAAGCTTTAAACTAATTGGCAGCCCACTGACTGACTTCAGCTTCAGCTTTTAATGTGTTCCTACCATGCCAGCCTACTGCTTATTGTAGTGTACTACAGACATGCTGCTGCTTTAGAGTGTTTGCTAAAGCTGGCCATTTACTTTAGATATTCTCATCCCCTTATCTGCCACATAACAGACTCAAACCTTTTAACGTGGATGAAATTTCACCTCATTGAGGTCACTGTTAACCCCTTCATATTAATACCACCGTATCCCAAAACTCCAGGCCCTGTGTACCCTGTTACCTTTTCTTTTAAAAGGATTTTCACTTCCTATACATTAAAATTGACTAAATGTTTACTATTTACTGTTTTACTCTAGCTAAAATGAACAATGGTAGAAATTTTTACTGCTGTTTCTCTGAATACCTAGAACAATACCTTAATAGGAGTTGAATAAATATTAGTTGATAAGTCCATGTTTTTAGCCTCATAATGTGCTTGCATGTGACTGAGGCTATTGCAGACTTTTATTGAACATTCTAATTTATTTAATAAGCCATTTAAAATGAAATTATTATACATTAATACTATTGATTTTTGCTTTCATATGTAAGTTCTGATATAGTTTGGGAGACAAAGCACAAGAAGAAGGCAAGATGGAAGCCAATGAGTGTAAAGCACACTGAGAAGCTGGAAAAAGAATTTAAGGAATACATTGAATCTTCACCTTTGGAAGACAAGATCATTGAGTTGGACACCAACACTTCGGTAAATTTTTAAAGTACAGATGGGAATTTTTAACTTTTGTCTGATACAGGTTGAACCACAAGTGAAGTGAAATTTAGGGAAAATTGAGCTTCCTTTATAAAACAAATGGAATATAGTTAATTTTTTTTTTTTTTTTGAGACAGGATTTCACTATGTAGTTCAAACTGGCTTTGAACTCACTTTGTAGGTGAAGCTAGCCTTGAGCTCGCAGAAATCCTTCTGCTCAGCCTCCTAAACGCCAGGGTTACAGGTGTGCACCACCACGTCCAGTGAACATGCTTAATATTAACTTACATACTTAGTGTATAATATTCCTTTATAGGTGTGATCATACTTTTTTATGTTAAAAATGCATTTTATTACCAAATCAGCACTAGACATTAGTAAAAAAAACAATGCAGAAGTTGGAAGCTGGCCCTCAGGCTTCACAGTAGGAGTTAATTAACTTGTGCTTTAAAAATTTTTTTTAAACTTTATTTAAAGAAAGACTAAACAAAACAGTAAACAGATAGAAATAATACGTACTTTCAAAGAAAAAAACAGTAAGAAACCACTAGTTGATGATTACATATTGTCCTCTTATAAATAGTTGTTCAAGATACAAAAGTGAAACATACAAAGTGGAGATTCAGACAGCGAGACTGCGAACAGTTCTGTTCAACTATCCAACAAAAATTTAGTAATATGGTTATCAATCCTATACACTTAAACATATGTACAGTTATCCATGTATTCATTTATTTTGAGATTAAAGCAGGCTAAAATCACTCTGAACAAAGAATAATAGTATTGCTGGATTTCACATCATGACATTCCGGGATCAGGACTGGGTTCTGTAGTGTCTCTTTTTCTTTAAAGTATTTGTTCATTTCATCATGTGTTATAAGATCACTTCTTGTAAACTGTTTATAGGTTCTATGCATTTATTTCTATCCTTTCTATATTAGAGGGAGAAACAAAACAAAACATATTCTTATAAACACATGAAACTAAAAAGACATAAAACCACTATACAAGGAGTTTTACAATGGTTACTGTGTTGTCTCGTTATCTTCAATAAAATTGTCTATATCATCAGACATAGTATAATTGAATATAGCAGTACATAACAATATTAATAAAAACACAACTTTGTAGATAGTGTAAAATTTCAAAAACAGGTAATAATTAAACCAGAATGGGTATTGTAGTGAATCTTGTCATCTTCAGTGTAGTTGCCTATACTTTCAGACTTGATACTATCAGTCATAACAGTTTTGAATCTGTCAGTACCAAACAGCAATCAAACAAACCAGACTTAACTAAGATCAGTCATGATAAAACAGTATAAGTTATACAGGGCTCCAGATTAAGTTAATAGGAAATTAAAGATGATTACTGTACTATATCCTGTTATTTTTGGGATAGCTGTCTGTGCCTTCAGATCGAGTGCAAGTAGACAAACTGGGACAGAATAAAATCTAAGCAGAGCGGTGTGAGAAATGTGGGTTTTAAATCCTGATACACTGTTAACAGTATCCTGTCACATCTTTTTTAAGACATCTTTTTTTTCCTCCCCTTTCACTACCCCAGAGAGCACTGTGCATTTTTGGGTCCAGCACCCTCAGTTTTTAGATTAGGGGGACAACCTGCTATTTACCTAAGTGGTTCCAAACCTTCTCCCTCCTGGACTTGATTTCTAGTTGTATTCCTTTACCTATTAAAGCCTGTCTTTCTAACCTATCCACAAATACTGGTCTAATTTCCACTGTTACTCTCTGGTTCCATGTCACATAAAGCATTGTTTTCTCATATTTGATTTTCAGCCCATATACCCTTTTTCAAGTTAATTATATTTCCTATAAAGAGCATCTTGGTGGACCCTACATGCTGACCTACTCTGCCTCTCTCTCTTCTTTTTTTTTTTTTTTTTTTTTTTTTTGTAGTGTATCAAGGGCATCTATATCAGATTATAGCCAACTTTCTCTGCCTCTTTCTGTTGAGCTCTTTTTTGGCCATTAGTTACCTGCTTTTCTTCTTCATTCCACTTTCTGCTCCATTCACTGAGGCCTCTCTGCCACTGTTCCTGGAATCCTAGTACTTTTCTCTTTCTCTAGAATGTCCTTTAGTGTTCCCTGTAGAATTGGATTGGTGGTCGCGAATTCCCGCAGTTCCTCTTTGTCTTGGAAGCACCTTGTTTCTTCATTAATTTCTAGAGACAGTTTTGCAGGGTACAATCTGGGCTGAAGGTTATTTTCTTTCAGGGCTTAGAATACTTTGCTCCAAGCTCTTCTTGATTTGATGGTCTGTGTTGAGAAGTCTGCCATGATTTGATGGGTTTTCCTTTCTAGGTGATCTGTTTCTTTTCTCTGATGGCTTTTAATATTCTGTTCTTATATTGAATATCTGGGATCTTGATTATTATATGCCTGGGTGTAGTTCTGTTTTGGTTGTAGGTGGCTGGAGTTCTGTATGCCTGATACATCTGAATATCATTTCCTTTTCCTATGTTTGGGAAGTTTTCCTTAATTATTTCTGTCAATAGCCTTTGTAGTTCCTTTGTTTGTACCCCTGCTTCTTCTTTCACATTCTTTATTCTTACTTTATAGATCCCCTTATCATCTTCTAGCCTTTGTATTGTTACTGCTTGTTTCCTTGTTATTTTTAAGAAATTTTTCCTTTCACGATCATACATTGCAAACCTGTCCTCCAGTTTGGATAATCTGTCCTTAGTTTCTTTCAAGCAGTTTTGCCAGCTTTTTTATTTCCTGGTAATCTCTTTGAATATGTTTCATGTATTGTTTTCTTTATATTCTTTGTTTCTCTCCTTTTTTGTGCTCCTCCATTCTTCTGTCTGTGTCTTCTTGAGAGGTGCTTAGCATTTGTTTTATTAATCTATTTATATCTTGCTTTACTTGGTTAAATATTTCACTTTTGAACTTGTCTATGAGGTCCCGAAGATATCTCTATATGTCCACTGATACTGTGTCTGATACTGCATGTTTGTTATCCTCAATCTCTTTTGTATTTACCTCTCTTGGATCAATGTTCTCAGGGTTGGGGGCTGGGAACTTTTTCTTGTTGCTTCCTCTTCTCATGTTTTTGGTTTCTTCCATACAAGTGTATAGAGGAGGTCCCAGTCCCTTTCCTTGTTGGTTACAGTTCTTCTGAAGCGCACTGGCTAGGTGATCCTGCCAATCATACATATTGAGAAATGTCTTATGTTAATGTCAGCTAATGAGAAATGAAAAGTTTATTTATTATAAAAATTAGCATTTTTTTGTTACTTTCCTTTCTCTTGCCCTGTCCATATTCTCCATCCTAGAGAAAAAGCCCAGGATCTTGCCTGCAATAAGCAGATGATCTGTGAACAAAGTATACCCCAAGCACTTGCTTAATTGTAGTAAATTTTAGTAAATAAATACAAAACGTGATACTGTTAACCTTTCAGGACTATGTCAATATTTTATGGATTTGGAATATAAAGAGCTGAGATTTGAATCTGAATTAAATGAGATGTTTAGCCTGCCGTTTTAACTAGTATTTTAAACATCTTTTGATATAACTTTCTAATTTTAATCAATTATGGAAAAGAGACATTCCATGTTTTTTTTTTGGGGGGGTGCATATTTTTCAGGTTCGCCTAACACCTAGTGGTAACAACATGAAAATTCTGCAACCACATGTAATAGGTCTCCGAAGAAATTACCTTCCAGCATTAAAAGTTGAACATAGCACATCTGCACATCAGTCGTCATTCCGAGTTCAGGTTTACAGAATACAGGTATGCCTTTCTGGAAAATGTAAGCCAGACACAATAGGGAACAAGATAACAGTCCGAGAGTTTGTTTCCTTCTAACACAAAGCCTAGAGAAGAAGGCACAACAGAAGCAAGAGGGTCCAGTACCCTGAGGAGGTAGAGAAGGAACTGAAGGTACACCCTGCCTCTGCACTTTCTACTTCAGTTTCAGTGGTACTTGGGACTTGTTGATTCCCTGTACTTCTTAAATCTTGTTGTTCTAGCCAAGTAATTGATGTACTGTGTACCAACCTGTTCTTTATTTTCTTAGATCCAAAACCAGATTCACGGTGCAATTTTTCCATTCGTATTTTATCCTGTTAGACCTCCAAAGTCTGTCACCATGGACTCAGGTTGGTTTGTTTGGTTTTTTTTGTAGTGGGGATCGAACTCATGATCTAGTGCTTGACAGGCAGGCACTTATGCCATTGAGCTAAACCCCCAGCCCCCAGGTTTGTTTTTATTTTTAGATAATTACAAAAACAGTTACCTTAGTTACTTGGTTTATTTTACTATAAAAATATAAAAAGAAACCATTTTGGGGTTTAGTTTTTACTAGAAGTAGAAGCTGCTTGAAATCTCCACCTAACTTCTGCAAATCTTTAAATGAATACTGAAAAAAATAAGACATGTTAAATGTGTATATATGTGTGTGTGTATGTACACATATGCACACACGTGTATTTACATGTAGAAATGTTTACATTTAAACATAGTAACTTAAAAACCAGATCACTAATCTGTAAACCTGATGTAGACTGTTAGGACCTTTAAAAACGCAATGAGGTCCTTTAAATTCCATCTTTTCTAAACAAGAGAAACTGTCCTGTGTTCTCCAGTTAAGAACAGCTTGACAGCTACTCTTCTCTTTCACCTTTTTTCTTTCTTATCTCTTTCTGTCTTTTCCTCATTTTCTCTTGGCTTTCTAAGGCCCCACTTTACTTTGTCCCACCTTGGATTCCTGTCCCACAGTCCATACTGTTGACTCCAAACTGTTTGAGGCGCTCTACGCAACATACTGGAAGCTGGAGTCACTGTGTAACTATCAGCCTCTACCCGCAAGCATGCCCTAGTCCCTGGACTCCATTTCACATTTTCCGTTCTAACTCCAATGCATGCTTCTAGTTTACTTTAAAAGACAGTCCTAGAGTGTAAAATTAGGATTGTAATGAACCTTGCAAAATATCAGCACTTAATTAACGTGACTTAGTAAGTGATTTCATTTCTCTTTGTTTAATATAACATTAGAAGAATGTGCTTAATTTTGGCTTAAAGCACCATAAGAATAATCATATTTATAATTTTTATAGCACCAAAGCCCTTTACTGATGTCAGTATTGTCATGAGATCTGCAGGACATTCCCAGATATCACGTATTAAGTAAGTGTTTTCATATATTTCTTACATGTTAACTTAATGTTTTGGTTTAAATATTTGAATTATTTCTACTGTTTATAAATTTCAAGTAAGTCAAATTTTTAACCATAAAGTATTAAATTACAAAAACCAAAGAAAAATCTATAATGAAATATGCCTAGATGTTAAGTATAGTTATTTCTAAATCATGGGAATTTTTTTTGTGCATTTGTGTTTAAAATGCCTATAATGGCTATATATTGTTTTAGAAACAAGAATAAAATTATTATTTCTATATTCAACGCACTACTTATTTCAGGAAGTGGAACATGAACAGAAAAGTGTCTGTGTGCTGCTCCCCATCTCTCCTCTCAGCTGATCACTGAGACTAACTGTCTATAGCCCCTTGCTTTTGAAAATACACTTTCATTGTATGTGTACACCTCAATGTTTTATACCTTTAATTTTTTCTGATTTTCTAAAAATTGTTTGAAACTTTAAACAATTCCTAGGGATTTGTTTTTTAAATTAAATTTGTATTAAAAATGTATTGATTTTTGTTATATATACGTATGATTTATTCACTACCGCTGATGTATAATCTTCTGTTACTGTATACCATAGCTTGTCCATTTCTCTATGGCCATTTTTCTATGTCGAGATTGTTTATTTATAAACAGTGTTGTTGTCATGATGTGTTTTTTTAATCTAAGAATCCTAAGTTCCAAAGTTCTAATGTATATAAAATACTTTTTTCTCATGTAATTTTCTTAGTGCAGTTAAGGATTTTTTATTGTTTTCTACTTTGTAACACAGGTATTTCAAAGTATTGATTCAAGAAATGGATCTTAGGTTAGATCTTGGATTTATCTATGCTTTAGCAGACCTTATGGCAGGAAATGAAGTGACCGAAAAAACAGAGGTAAGACTTAAGAATAATAGCGTTTGATAGGAAAGACTAAGGAAGCCAAAGCACTACAGGAAAAAAAAATGTTAAAAATGTTTAGATATTATAATGCTTTGTTTCATTTTAAAAATACATATTTCAAATCTTTTGTCCTACTTGTGGTAAGCAAATGTGTAGAAATCATATTTTTTTTTTTTTTTTAGAGGATAGAAAGTGGAAGTAAGTCCTTGCTTATTAGCAAGTGAAAAGTTGAGGGTCAGATAGAACTGAAGAAAGAAGATAATCATTTGTGTTCACATCACTTTTTTTCTTTTACTTTCTTGGGTTATATTTGCCTTAATAATTTAAAATTTTGGAAAATGATGGAGATATTTGATGAGTAATGAGATAAGGCAAGTTAAAAGTATCTCTTTCGGCAGCTGTGTAAGAGACTTCAAAATCATAGTGACACAGTGGATCAGATATAGTCTCTTTTTTCTGCCTCATAGAAACAATTCTTAAGATAGAGACAACCTTCATAGATAAAGACCAACAAATATATTTTGCATCCTTTATTAACACAGGGGGTTTTTGAGACAGGGACTCACTATGTAGTCCAGACTGGCCTTGAACCTGTGGTGATCTTCCTGCCTCATCTCCTGAGTGCTAGGATTACCCAGCATAACATAGTTTATTAACATTTAGTTCACATACCTTATGCTTCATCCATTTGAAATGTACAATTCCGTTTTCTAATATACTTAATTTACAAAGTTGTACAACCATCACCACTATCTAATTCTAGGGCATTTTCATCACCTCCTAAAGGAATGCCTTGGTTCTTGTAAAAATTAAAATACTTTATTCCTTTACTGGTTTTTCTATTTAAAACATTTGACACATGAAATAGTGTACTACATGGTCTTTGGTGAAAGGTATCTTTTGTTTAGCATGACATTTTAAAGTTCGTGTATGTTGTGGCATGTGTCAGTACAGCATTCCTCTTTTTGGTAGAGTAATTTCCCATGAAATGGACAACTTCATAATTTTTCCTATCCATTAGTTAATGGAAACTTGGATGGTTTGGATAGTTTGACGATTATGGATTCTATTATGAATATTTGTGTACAGTTTTTTAAATTTCTTTTGGATGTTTACCTATGGGTAGGATTGCTAGGCCACCTGGAAATTACTCTCAAGCTATTTTGGTTAGGTTAGGTTTTGTTTGGTTTAGTTTGATTCACTGCGGTGTGGTGTGGTTTGGTTTGGTTTTGTGAAACAGGGTCTGGCTTTATGGTCCAGGTGGTCTTTAACTCATTATATAGCCCCGGTTGACCTCTCTGGTAATTATTATTACCTGAGGTTGTGTTCCTAGGCATACTAACAGGTGTGATAGAGTTTCTTATTACAGGTTTTTTTTTTTTTTTCTGTCTTTTTCGTTTTTATCCGTACCAGGGATTGAACTCACAACTGCCTGCTTGCAAGGCAGGCGCTTATGCCGCTGAGCTAAATCCCCAGCCCCCTTATTACAGTTTTGATTCGCAGTTACCTCAAGATCTTGAGCATCTTTTGGTCATGGTAGTCATTTGTATTTCTTTTATGGAGAAATGTACATTCAGATTCTTTGCCTAATATGCAGTGGATTATTCATCTTATTGTGGAATAATAAGTTATTTATATCTTCTAGCTCTATATTCCTTTTCAAATAAGTGGTTTTCACATGTATTTTCCTGTTTGTGGATCATCTATTCGCTTTTTTCATGTAGTCTTTTTGAAGCACAATAATATTTCACATCTCTTTTATTGGTCATACTTTTAGTTCATTTTTAAGAATCCTTTACCAAATCCCAGGTAATGAATGAACCTTACGCTCTAAAACTTTTGAAGTTTAGCTGCTATGGTTAAATCTTTGGTCCGTTTGAGTTCGTTTTTTGTGTGTGACGGGAGATGAGGATACAGATTATTCTTATACAAGCGGCTCTCAGTTTCCCAATATCATTTCTCTCTTTTTTTAAATTGATGCTAGCAATAAAGAATAATGAGATTCGTTTTGATGAATCGGTATATGCATATAACATATTTTGATTATTTTCAGCTCTCTTACCCCACTCTTCCTTTTTTCCCTCCTCCCCTTGATCTCCTTCCCCTAGTTTCTCTGTTTATTTTTTAGAATGTTTTTTTTTCTTTTGAGACAGGGTTTCACTATGCAACTCAAGGAGTCCTTCAGCTCACTTTGTCACCCTGGATGATCTCAGACTTGCAGCACTCCTTCTGCCTCAGCCTCCCTAGTGCTGAGATTGTAGGCATGCACCACCACAGTCAGCACAGATTGCTGTTACTAGGGAAAACAATTAGATAATATGATATTTATCTTTGTGTGACTGGAATATTTTGCTTACCACCGTAGTCTCTAGAACCATCCATTTTTCTGCAAGTTACATGATTTCATTCTTTGTGTCTAATATACCATTGTATGTATATACTACATTTTCTTTGTTCATCTCTTGATGAGCATCTAGGCTGTGTCTACAGCTTAACCGTTACGAATTGCACTGTGAAAAACATGGATGTGCATTTGTTACTGTAGACATAGGCTCTCTTTAGGTCTTTTAGAAATATACCAAGCAGTATTGTCACTGGGTCAAAAGGTATTTCCATTTTCAGCTTTGTGAGGAATCATTATTCTGATTTCCAATATGTACTACTTTATATTTCCACTTTATGAGGAATGTCCCACTTTGATTTCCATAGTGTGTACTACATTTCCACTAACAATGTATGAGGGTTCCTTTTCTCCTTCACATCCTTGCCAACATGTACTGTTTCTTGTATTCTTGATGATAATGGAATCCCAGTGTAATTTTGATTTGTAATTTCATCATAGCTAAAGGTATGAAACGTTTTTTTCATAGCTTTTTGACCACTTCAGCAATGACTTTTGAAAAGTCCCTGTTTAGTTCATTTAGCCCATTTATTGATTGTGCTATTTAGGATTTTTATGGGGGGTTTTGTTGTTCTTTGTATAGCATAGATATTAATACTCCATCAGAGGAATAGCTAGCAGAAATTTTCCCCCATTCTGTAGTTGTGGCTTTACTCTGTTGACAGTTTGCTTTGCTGTGCAAAAATTTTTCCATTTGTTGATTTTGGTACTATCTCCTGAGCAGTTGATGTCCTATTCAGAAAGTCTTTCCATCTGCCTATGGCTTCAAGTGTTTCTCCTAGGTTTTCTTCCAGCAGCTTCACTGTTCTCAGTCTTTGATGTGTTTTCATTCAATTTAGTAGAGGGTGAGAGGTAAGGATCTAAGTTCAATCCTCTGTGGTTATCCAGGTTTCCCATTACCATTTGTTAAAATAGGTATGTTTTCTCCAGTGTGTGTTTTCCACTCACAAATATCAGATTGCTGTAGGCGCATGGGTGCATGCCTGTGTCTTCCATTGTTCCAGTGGTCTACTCATCTCTTTTTGTACCACTGCTGTGGTGGTTAAGCTTAACTGTATCATCTTCATTGGCTTGGGAGTTGTCCAAAGGATTAACAAAGCACACTTCTGGATGTGTCTGGCTGGGTCATGGGAGGTGTTACTTCCCTTATCCCTTCCTCTTTGGCACTGTTTCTGTACTCTTATTTCCTGGCCACTACTAAACTGAGCAGTTTTGCTGAACCTGCCCTTTCTATTATCATGTTTCTGCCTTAGGGCTAACAGACCGAATCTCCTGAAATCATAATTAAATTAAATATCTTCCTCCTTTAAGTTGTGGGTATCAGACGTTTTGTCTCTGCAACAGGAAAACTGGCTAGTACAGAACATTGGTACCAATTTTAGTTGTAATTGAAATGAAAAATGATTTCGTTGCAGTGGCTATACCTGACCTTATGGTTTAGAACCCTCTGGGAGTGGCTTGTGGGAGGAGTTTAGAAACTGTTGGAGAAGCAGGGGAGAGAAATCTTAGAACGCTGTAATAAGCGGTCTGTGGGAAGTTCTGTTTGCAAGAATTTTACTGAGGACTTGTACATCTGTCTGTATTCATCAAAGATATTGGTTTTTCTGTTGTTGTTGAGTCCTTATCCAGTTGTGGAATGGGGGAAATGCTAACTTGCAGTAGGGGCCGAGGGTTTGTAGAATAACTTTGTAGAATGAATTTGGAGGCATACCTTGCATTTCTGCATTTTGTTTAAAAAGAAAAGTTTGCAGAATAATGTGTTAATTCCTCTGGTAAAATTAAGCAGTGAAATTATTGAGTACTATGCTTTCCTTGTGAGCTTTTTATTACTGCTTCAATCTCACTGTTCTATGTAAAGTTTTTAAGTCTTTCTTACTCAATTTTGGTAGGTCATTTATGTCTAGGAATTTATCCATTCTCTAATTTTTGGGGGGCGGGGATGTCTTTGAGATAGGGTCTTGCTCTGCAGTTCAGACTGGTTGTAAATTCACTTTGTAGCCATGCTGGCCTCTTAATTGTCAATGATCCTCCTGCCTCACCCTCCCAAGGGCTGGGATTACAGGCATGTACCACCATGCCCAGCTTCTCTAATTTATTGGAATATAATTTTACAAAACAATTTCTAATAATCCTTTGGATTTCAGTGGTATCTGTAATTTCACCCTTTTTGTTTTAATTTTATTAATTTGGGTCTTCTCTCTTTTGGTACATTTGAGGATTTATCAATCTTGTTTATCTCTTCACAGAACTAAATATTCAATTCAGTGTTCCTCTATATTCTTTTTTGTGTGTGTGCATGTATTCATTGAGTCTATTTCATTAACTTCTACTCTTATTATTTTCTTCCTTCTGCTTGCTTGGGGTTTTATTTGTTCTTGTTTATTTAGGACCTTGAGATACACTGTATCATTATGTTATTTATTTAGAATCACTATTTTCCTAATGTAGGGATTTATAGCTGTAAACTTCCTTTATACAACTATTTTCATTGTGTCCCATGGAGTCTTTTATGTTGTGTTTCCATTATCATTGGATTCTAGTAGCTTTTTAATTTTTTCCCTGATTTATTCAACAAGCCACTTGATCATTCCAAAGTGTGTGCTAGTTAATCTTTACCTGTTTCTATAGTTCTATACAGTTTCTATAGTTGCTTTTGCTGTTGATGTTTAGATTGCTAAACATCTAATAGGATGATAGGATCTGATAGGATGAATTGGTTTCAATTTTATTGTATTTATTAAGACTTGCTGTATGGGCTAAGATATGGTCTATTTAAGAGAAAGTTCCCTTCATAGTTTATAAAAGAATATGTGTTTTATTGTTGAATGGAACATTCTGTTTATATCTGTTGAGTCTCATCTTTTGTGTAGTCTGATTGTTTTTGTTTTGTGTTTGCTTTGGTCTGCTGACATATATATTTGGAACTGGGCATTGAAGTCACCTACTACGATTGTAGTGGCGTCTGTCTGATCCCTGTATGTCAAGGCTTGTTTATTTTATGAATAAAAATGTTTACAAATGTTACTTCTCTTTAGTTAATTGTTCTCTTTATTAATATTGGCTTTCTTTACTTCTGACAGTTTTAGTTTGAAGTCTACTTTGTCTGATGTAAGTATAGGTACTCTTCCTTGGATTATCATTTTTCCATTCACTGATTTTCAGCCTGTATTTCTCTGAAGGTGACCTGTGTGTTTCTCACAGACAACATATATATAGCTCTTATTTTTTTGAGCCATTCTCCAAGTCTGTCTTTTAATTGGCAAATTAAGACTATGTATGTTAAGTGCTGTTATTGAAAAGTATGTACTAATTCCTGCCATATTGTTATCTTTTTAGAATTTGATTCATTTCTGATTCACATTCATTTCTCTTCTCTCCCAATGAAGTATATTCATTCTCTTGGCCTCATGATTGTCATTTTCCTCTCCGTTTAGGATTCCCTTAAGTACTTTACATAATGCTGGCTTAGTGGCCATTGGTTTCTCAACTTTGTGTTTATCTTGGATTGTGGGGGTTCTGCAAGCAAAGGGAAAATAAAGTGACACACACACCACAGGTCAGCAAAATGAACAGGGAAAGTGGATCCTTAAACTGAGATATAGCCTCAGCCTGGGGTATCTTACAAAGAGAAAGCCACACAAAAATGACAGTCACGAGAAATCAAGGAAGCAGGTTGTGTACCAAAATTCATAACTCTCCCAAACTGACCCTACAGTATTTAGGTAGATAAAACCCCCCAAAATTTAACAAGCCGTTATTTAAAATTATGAATGAGATCAAAGAAGACCAAAATAAGTGATAGAAGGAAAGGGACTATAAGTCCCTTTGAGAGTTTGAATCCAATTGATGAGCTAGCAGAAACACAGCAAACCCTTTTAAACAAGAGTGGTATGGGAGAACAGGACTAAGTAGGGTAAGACATTGTGAAAGTAAAAGCAGTAACTAGCACTTACACACATTTGTACATGTATGCACACGCACACATGGTCATGTACACATGCACAAACCAGGTTCAGTGTTCCTCCTCTTGGAGGGGATATTTATACTGGAAACACTATTCAACTATTTTTCCTGGGATTATATTGTTGGGTGTCACCTGACAGATTAAGAGGTGTGAAAATCTTTTTATTCCAGCATTTTCTTCTCAGCCTCTGTCCGGGTATGAGAAGTGGTTTGGAGGCTGAGCACTACCTCTCTTTGGTGATAGATGTATACTTGAGTAGGTTCTTCCTTTCCTATAGATCTTTAACTTTTTAAAACTATGCTAATAGAGTTTTTAAATTTCTCTTGTTAAATTTATTTTTTAGTGGGTTTTGGATGGTGTTGTTCATTCATTTGTTTGTGGTACTGAGGATTGAGCCCATGGTCTCCTTACTGAGGCACATCTCTAGCCCTTGTTTTTTAATTTTTTTAATTTTGAGACAGGAATTTAATTACTGTGTTTCATATTCTTTATACATATATGTCATCTTAGAAAAGAGATAGATTGACTTCTTCCTGTCTTTCTCTCTCTTTCCCCTCGTGCCTTCTCTCTCTCTCTCTCTCTCTCTCTCTCTCTCTCTCTTTCTTTCTCTTTCTCTCTTTCTCTTCCTTTTCTGGTACCACAGAAGAAACTCATGACTTGCATTTGCCAGGCAGGTGCTGTGCCACCAAGCTGTATCTCAGGCCCAACTTCTTCCCTTCTGGTATGAATGCTTTTGGTTTCTTTCTCTTCCCTAATTTTACTGTTACAAACTAGTGAAATATTAAACAAAAATGAGAGCAGACATACTGGTGTTGCTTCTGATCTTAGAGGAAAAGCTTTCAGTTTTTAGCCCTTAAATATGTTGTCTGTGAGTTTTTCCTAAATGTTGACTATACATTTAATGCCTCTATTAATAAGGTATTACTGTTAGATACGCATATATAGCCAGATTTGGTGGCTTTAGTGTTTTTGAGGATTTTTCTGTTGATATTCATAAGAGATACTAGTCTCTGATTTTCGTGCGACACTTTTGAAGTCACAATAAAACAATGACTTTATGAAATGAGAAATATTTCCTCCTGCATTTTGAAGAAGTTTATAAAGGATTAATTTTTTTTAAGTTTGTAGAAAAATTCAACAATAAAGTCATCTGGATCCTGGTTTCCTTTTTGGGTAGGTTTTTATTTTTGTTTTTCATTACTGATTTGATCTATGTCAAGTTCACTAGTTGTGTGTTCCTATTGTCTATATTTCATTTTAATTGATTGACAGATTTATTTATGTGCAGTCTATGTTATCTCTGGTAAATAATAAAATCCACAGTATGATCTTATTACAATCAATGAAATAACAATCAGTTATTTCATTGATTGTATTTTTATTAGTTTTACTACATTGCTGTTATTTCCTTCTTTCTACCTGCTTTAGTTTATTCTTTTTTAACTTTGTAAGATAGACATTATTGGTTTGAGTTTTTTTTTCTTTTTTTAGTGTGGACACTTACAAGTGTAAATTTTCCTCTAAGTGCTATTAGCTGTGTTTCAAAAATTTTGGAATGTTGTTTTCATTTCCAATTAGCTCATGTATTTTCATTTTCCATTTTCATTTTTTTCTTCTGGCAAAATAATACTGATTTTCTTTTTTTGAGTTTTTCTTTGACCTCTTATATATTCTTGTGCCTATTTTCTTTTTATAAGTGTTGTTTAGTTTTTATGTGTTTATAAGTTTCCTAATTTCTCTCTATTATTAGATTCGAATTTCATTTCATTATGGATGGAGAACAGCGATATTATTACTTCTGTCTTCTTAAGATACACCACGTTGTGTTTGATAGCCTGGGATGTGGGCTCTCCGAGCCTCTCCTAGAGGATTGTACTTTGGGAAGAATGCATCTCTCTGTTGTTGACTTGAGAGTTAGGATAGGGCTATGTTATATTGGTCAAGTCTTCCATTTCCTTAATGATCTCCTGCCTGGTGGTTTTACCCTTTATTGAAAGTGGATTAGTAAAGTCTCCAGCTAGTATTGCTGACATAATCTATTACTTCATTTCTGTCTTTTTTGTATACATTTTATTGCTCTTTTATTGCTTTATTATTACATATTCTAGATAAATTAACCTAATCTCTGTAAGGTGTTCCTCTGTCACTAGTAAAATGTTTGAAGTATATTTTGTCAGGTGCTACATAGTTACTTTAACTTGTGTTGCTGTTTGACATTTCATTTCGCATCTTTTTACATTTGCTGTGTATTATTAATTTAAAATATGTTTTCTGTAACCACCATATGGGTGAATTTTGTTTTTATATCCATTGGATCGTCTATGCCTCAATTGAATTACTTAATTCATATTTTATATCATTGATATAGTTGGAGTTATGTTTCTTTTTAAATTTTATGTTTGTGTCTCATACTTTTTGTGTTCCTTTATTCCTTTGGTGCTTTCTGTACAGGAAGTGAACATTTTCTTGGGTGTCTTAGTTACTTTTCTCATCACTGAGACAAAATTTTGAATGCCCAAAGTTAGGCATGGCAGAGGAGAGGAGAACTGGGCCATTGCAGGGTAGGCAGTACAGCAGCAGCAGAAATACCTGCAACCAGCTTCCTCTTCCCTTTTATTCCATCCAGTCTACAATCCTGGGTGGTACCACCCACATTGAGGGTAGGGACTGCCATTACTCACATCCAGAACTGTAATAAGCCAATTAATGGATTAAGGCAGTACCACTCCCTTAATCCCAATGTCATTCCCTTCATCCACATTCACATGCCCTGCATCTGGAAAATCCTGTCTCTGACCACATGAGGTACGTCTAAATACAAACAGAAGTATTGGAAAACAATTAAAAATTTCTTTAGTGATGTCTTTACCATATTTGAGTTTTTCAGACTTTTTTAGTGATTGCTCCAGGATTTAAAGCAGCTATTTTCTTATTTATACATGCTTAATTCCAGTGAGATATAGAAATGTAACTTCCATATCACATTCTTCCATTTTCATCCCTTTTAGGATATCATTCTTACATATATTGCATCTGCTAGGTTACAAACTGAATAATAAATTTTTGTGATTATTTCTTTACCATTTATTTCCCTGTATAATACTGCTTCTCACATACTGTTTATTTATGTTCTCTTTGTAGGAGGGACTTTTTAATAAAGACATAGAAGCTTTTGAAGAAGACTATGAAACAGGTTCACTAATAGATCAATCACAAGTCAGTCTTTATGAGTATTTTCATATATCTCCTATCAAGGTATGGGAAAAATAAGTCATTTTTTATCTCTGATAATCTAGGTAATGGTAACTTGATCTCATCACTGGGATATAGCAGTTATGTTCTTACTAGGGTAGAAGTCTTGGAGCTTTAACATTGTAAACAAGTAATGAATGATTCTTTAAAAACTTTTAAAATAAGTTTTCCCTATGTAAAAGTAGGTTATCACCAATAACTTGTATTTGTATGTTTATATCTTTACCCAACATTATTTTACCTTAATTTTCTGTTAAAGCTATTTTGGTGACAAGTTTTAAAATGTTGTGTATCACGTGTACTAGTTTTAGTTTATAAAGTTTATTTGACATAGGAATTAGACATTGAGTAAAATTAAAACTTTTTAAAATACAGTTTCTATAGAATATAATACCTGAAGTAAATTATTACATAATCCCATGTTTGGGATAAGTATGCAATATGGTACAAAAATGGTTTTTAGCAGACTTCATACTAACTTAATTCTAACATTTCAAATGTGCACTTTGGTAATTTTTTTTCAGCAGCCTAACTTACTGCGCTGTGTTACAAATGTATAAAAGTGAATATATTCTAAAGTTTATCAAAAATAAAATTGAAATAAATTAATCATGTCACTAAATTTAAAATTTAAGTAAAACTATGTTAAATTTAACTTTCTGCTTACTAATTTTTAGCATAATTCAGTTAATTTTGAAATCTTTATGGTGTGAACTTAAAATGATACTTTTTTTTGAAAAAAGTTGTATGAAGAAAGTACTTAACAATATTTATCCTTTATCTCTTTAGTTGCATCTAAGTGTTTCACTGAGTCCGGGTAGAGAAGAAGTTAAAGATCCAGAACAACGTGGAGGACTGATTCCATTTCGTTCTATAAATCTTTTGCTGAAGAGTATTGGTGCTACTCTTACAGATGTACAGGATGTAGTTTTTAAGTAGGTTTAATAGTCAAATCTGTAAACTGATTAAACAATCCATTTATACTTAGCTAAAATTTTTCTACATGAGAAAGAATGTAAAATATATTACAGACTACAGCAAAATTTGGCTTTTGCCTTTAAATGGAATACAATTAAAATAACAGCATTTTACCTGCCCAAACTACAAATAACACAGTAATTATTTTCCTTTTTATTTTTATTTTTTTAATAAGCGATCCAACTCATGGTCTCGTGCTTCCCAGAGAGGTGCTATGCTGCTGAGCTATATCCCCAGCAAATTGCAGAATAATTAATAAATAATTTCCTTAAGAAAAAAGACATAGGCTATACAATTTTATGTCCTTTTAGGAAATCTGGCCTAGGGAAGTATTCATAAGATGTGAATGCCCAAAGTACCTGAAAGATGTGCCTTTTCAAAACCCATAAAATCAAAACTTTTCGAAGACAGTGTGACTGGGAACAAAGTAAATGCATTGATGGGGAAAATTAAAGAGATCAGTTTAAGCACCTAATGGTCAAGAATTTGTATTTGAATGTGAGTCATGGAAGCTAATCAAATACCTGGTCAGAGATTCAGTGAATCTAAAGGAGACTTTAGAAAAAAGTATTATTCTTTTAGGTAGACTTTCTACCAGGTTATTAAAAACACTAATGAACATTAGTGAGTACTATGTGAGGTAATTCTGAACTTAGATAAAGTTAACAGTCAAAAGAATATGGGTTTGATGTCAATAGAATAGACAAGATTCCTAATCTTACCGCTGTCATATTCAGCAGTAAGAAGCAGAGAGCTTCCCAGTTATTGGATCCAGGTACATACTGTGAATGAGTTTATAAAAGTAAACTGACCTGTTTCCTTTTGGTTGGACCTGGAGCAATTGAAGCTTGGCCTTTTAAAAAAAAATATTTATTTTTTTCTGTTTGTACATGTATGCATTTCTCAAGTTTAAACTCAAGGCTTTTGCAGTGAACTACCTCTCCAATCATTTTTTCTTTTTTGGTGTTGGGGGCTGGGCACATCTTGCTAATAAATTTCCCAGGTAAGCTCAAACTCTGATTGGTTTGCCTCAGCCTACCAGAGGGCTTGAATTACAAGCATGAACTGCTCTGCCTGCCTTAACCTTGGCCATTCTTAAGCAATCTCTTCTTTTCAGTGTATTGACCACTTTCTGTGTGAGTCATAGAACTGGGAGATAGTTCAGGTTGTCCATAAATGGACTGCAGAGGATCACTGAACCCTGTAAGTTCCATGAAAATTTGTGGACATTGATGACATTTCAGAATATAAGGCCCATAAATTTTATTAGACTTAGGAGCTTGTTTTGACTAGAGTGTGTAAAAGATACACACAGAAAATTGTACTAGAAGGAAATAATTGGAGAAAAATTTTAAAAGAAAGTCATTTAAATTAAATTTATTTAATTTTTCTTGCTCTGTATTTTTACACATACATATTTATATATTTTTACGTTTTTTTCAGGCTTGCCTTTTTTGAGCTCGACTATCAGTTTCATACGACATCTCAACTACAGTCTGAAGTAATAAAACACTATTCAAAACAGGTTTGTCTGAGATTATTTTACAAAGGGACAGAGTTACATAGACTAGTGGAGCTTCATGTGTCTGTTCATGCATGTACAATGTAGATTTTTAATGTAAGTAGTCATTTGCAAAATTTTAAAATATGAGTTTTTCCTCAGTCATAAAAAACAAACTTGTACCCAACCCAAGTTTCATTTTATTTTGTCCTTATTTTTTTAGTCCTTGTCAGAAATCTTTTTCTGGGTGGATATGAATTTGAACTAAATCATTATTAACCAAGTAATTTGTCACACTTATTTCTAAAAATTCATTCATTAATATTTTATGCTACAGTTGACAGAGCATCTGAAATAACTGTGATCTAATGGCCAAATCAGTGAGCATGATCCAGGAAATCTGTATATTGATCCCACTTTGGCCATGTAATTTCTGTGTGACCCTGAGCCTCATTTGACCCAGGCTATAAAATGATGGTAGTAGTAACAGCTTTCATAGGAAACTGTATATGTGAAAGCATTTTACATATTTTATATAAATATAATGTCATAGAATCTCTTATGATAGTACCAGATTGCTCTTTAAAAATGGTGATGAATAAAGTGATAGGGGATTGATAGTGAATTCATAATAAGGATGTTAGCCTGAGAAAACTGGATGTGTATACCAAATAACCTGTAAGAATAGAGTCTGATTATCTGAAGTGATTAATGTTCACATTTCATTTTTAGGCCATTAAGCAGATGTATGTACTCATTCTTGGACTTGATGTTTTGGGAAATCCCTTTGGCTTGATTAGGGAATTTTCAGAAGGTGTAGAGGCGTTTTTTTATGAACCCTACCAGGTAAAATAATTTCCTTGCCTTGTATATATCAAATTAATACTATTGAATACATAAGCAATTCATATGTTAACCTGACCAGTGAGTATATATAAATTTTGAGAGATATCAGAATAGTAGTGCTTTTCAACAACAGTAAGGTTTGGAATTACTTTGGGAGGAAATTTCTGCCTTTCTTTCTCAAAACTTAAATTTAACCCACTAATGCCAAAGATTGCAATTTTTGAATTTTCTATGAAATTCATGCATGTTACCCAGAAAACTTCAAGGGGCAAGAATTCATTATGAATGAAGTGAAAAAAATTCATTATGTTTTGTTGTTATTGACATTCCAAAAACAAAACTAGCCACAGAAGAGTTAAAAATGTCTTACATTGTACTGAATTTAATTGTTGTTTTGCAATATAAAAAGTAGATACAGTTCAGACTGTAAGAGAAAGGAAGACTGCCAGGTATAGATAATCGTGATTGGTACAGATTTTGGAACTGTAAAAACCATAGACGCTAGTGCTGTGCAGAGACCTCCTAATAACCAGTGGGCAGCAGAGTATGGGTATCAGTCATCAGAACATTCAGTACTGTCCTATTTTTACTTTTTAAAAAAAAATTTACATTATATACTGCTACAAGTATATATTAATAAACTTTTTGTCAGTATATAATGTTGCATTCATCATGGGGAGTTGGTACATCTGGATATCTTAATTTCTGTTTCATTCCTGCCCCTGTCTCTTGACCTTTTTCCTTGTTTTCTGTCATCTTTTATTTTGGTCTTTAGACTTTGGATTTCTCACATGAGAAAAACACATGCTATTTAAGCTGTATGTGATTTATTTCCGATGGATCCATTTTCCTACAGGTGACTCAGGTTGATCCTTGTTTGTTCTGGAGTAGTACTCCATCGTGTGTAAATACTCACTTTTTAAATATATAGAGTAATTAAAAACAGGGTGAAACTAACATTTTGTATGTTTGAACATAAAACATTTTGAACTATTTTATTTCTTTCACTCACTAAGAGTACCTGAAATGTTTCCTTTCTTATAACTTACAGGACAGAGCAGGCAAGCATCTTTTCTTAAGTGTCATCTTTCATACTTTCATTACCACAAAATCATCCCTGGGAGCTCTTTTTAATGTGAAGGTTTTTGCTGGCCTCACTTCCTATGCGCCATTTCTGCTCTTTTCATCACTACCACTTCTTCATTTGCATCAGTAAGTCCACTTGTGAATACAACTTTCTAAAATTCATTTTTCTTCACTATAGGGCGCCATCCAGGGTCCTGAAGAGTTTGTGGAGGGAATGGCACTGGGACTCAAGGCGCTCGTTGGGGGAGCTGTTGGTAAGAATAGGGTGCCAGGCGTGATGGTGGCAGAACGTGACGACATGTTTGCTTTTGCTAACGGTGCTGTCATTTCTGTTAGGTGGCTTGGCTGGTGCTGCCTCCAAAATCACTGGTGCTATGGCTAAAGGTGTGGCGGCCATCACCATGGATGAAGACTACCAGCAGCAGAGGAGAGAAGCCATGAATAGGCAGCCGACTGGTTTAAGAGAAGGGCTCACTCGTGGAGGAAAAGGCTTGGTTTCTGTAAGAAATCTCAGATGTGGACGTTACAGAGAACAGGTTTTAAACCGGCATTCAGTCAGTAAATTGGCACAACTCTTGCTCCTTAAATTATTACTTGGATGTTGTAAGAGCAGTGAGTATAAAACTTACCAGAGGTCTCCAAAAACCATTCTGTTTACATAGAATACTTGGGCAATATGCTTAGATGGTATATAAAAAGAGCTCTGTATATTTTTGTTTTCTGCCAGACTTGGTTTTTCTAAGCATCATATGAAAGTAATACCGATTTTCAATCATGCTTTCTTTCCAGGGTTTTGTAAGTGGCATTACAGGAATTGTTACAAAACCAATCAAAGGCAAGTACAAGAGTTCGTTTGGGTGATATATTTCACCAGTTGGTTCTATTTTCAGTCTTGATCCATTTGCCTAAGAAGTTCCCATTTTTACTTTTAGGGGCTCAAAAAGAAGGAGCAGCTGGTTTCTTTAAAGGTGTTGGGAAAGGTTTAGTTGGAGCAGTGGCCAGGCCAACTGGAGGCATCATAGACATGGCTAGCAGTACGTTTCAGGGAATAAAAAGGTAAATTATCTTTGGTGTGACATATGAGTAAAATACTTTAAGTGTGAGAAATGAAATGTGTCTGCTTTTTGGCTTTGAGAGCTCAGTTGTGAACACTGTCATGTAACAGGCTATGTAGGATTTCCGCTTCATTTTCATGGTTCAAGTTGCTGTGTCATGTCCTGTCACCTTTGTAGTTTGTCATTTATTCACAATTCTTGCTTTCAAGAATGGACAGGTTAAACAAGCTTTAATTGAAATATATTTGTATGTCTATTGTAAAAGTAGCAAATAAATTCTATATAGTTTCTTTTTTTAATGATCAAATAAAACACTTTCTATAGCTAGGAAGATAATGAACCAATTTTATATAACCTTCATATAATCTGTAACCTAAACAAACAACTCATTCTTAAGTCTCCATTCAATTTTTTAATGCATGTGGATGCTTTCTTGAAGAGTGGCATTTCATAGCCCTTGGTTCAAGCTTAGTCATCTCCACCCTTCCATTATCTTAAATTATTATTAAACATATAATCATTCCTTTTCTCTTGTTTTTATAATTTAGAATTAAGGTAGGTCATCAATCTGCTTTACCTAGAATTTTAGTTTTATAAATATGATGGGTTAAATCATAGTCAACAGAAGAACTTATAATATGTCTGCGAAACCAGGATTTCAAAATATATCTATGCAGACTTCTACCAAAATCTGCTAGAGTTACTTTCCATTTAGCTAAAACCTTGTTTTCTGTGCCCAACAACATTACTGTTAGACACAAAAGAAAAAAATAAACATTAAACAAATATAAGAAAGACTGAGAAGTATTAAAGGATATGCTTATGGAGAAGGACTTTGAACATCAAAAGGAAAATGGTTTAAGAATCAAAAGTGACAAAAAATCAAAGGTGAAATATAAATTAGTGAATAAATATAAACTATAGGAAAATGACATTGAAAGAACTAAATTAGTATAAAATATTACAGTGCAGTTTAGAAGGGAATCATTGACATCAGGCATTCAGATGTCACACTGTTTCTGAAGGGCGTATCTTTATGAATATTACATGAAACAGATTTTAGGGCAGAAACGTTTTTGGAACTAATAGCTAATAAAAAAAAACAACCAAGAAGATAATAGTTTTGAACTTATATGTAGTTCACAAAATAACTGCACTTTTTATGAAAGAAAACTATAAGAACTTCCCAAGTGTATATTGATGGAAGAATTTAGCACTTCATTTAATTTTGGTAAATCAGAATGACAAAATTAAGTAAATGCCTGACTTAGACACAGTAAGATGCATACACATAGATTTTATGTTTCTATAATGCATAGTTATTAGACACTTCTCATTACTTGAGAAAACAGCAGTGACCACAATTTGGCAATTATCTTGTCTTCATAAAGCTTACAATATAGCAGGAGAATAATAAAAATATGTATTTGGTAAATATATGATACGCTACATGGTGAAAAAAATGTTATTCTCTGAAGAAAACTGGATTAAAAGAGAGGGCATCAAAGTGGTGGCGAGGAAGAAACTTTTTATGTATACTCTGTCCAGGGTTCTTCAGTGTTAAGATTACATTTCACAGTATTCGCTTATAACACTCTTATTCTTGTGAAATTGGTAATTCTGTGCCCCTTTTCATTCCTGGAATTAGTCACTTGAATGCTGCTTAACTGACCTTTTCAAACAAATGCTTTTATTTCATTGATAATATTTTTTCTATTCTGTTTTGTCTCTGTTTTCTTCTTTCAGTTTTCAGTATGGTTTTTTTCCTACTTCCTTAAATTGTAAACTTAAATTACTGATTTTTAGATTTTTTTTTTAATTTAGGCATTTAAATTTATAAGTTTATCTCTGAGCCCTCTCTTTGCAGCATCTCAAAGATTTTGGCAATATTGGGTTTTTGTTTTTATTTGTCTCAGGTAGTGAATTTCCCTTGTGATTGCTCCTTTAATCTTTCATGATTTAGGCTTCTGTTATTTTTTTAAACTGTGGAAGTTTTTTTAATTTATCAAGTTTCTGTTTTTATCAATTATTTTGTATTTACTGAAACATGTTTTAAGGCCTTTTTGTGGTTTTGTTTGTTTTTCATTTTTTGAGACGGGCTGGCCTTAAACTCTACATGTATTCCAGGTTGGCCTCACTCTAAGTGACCCTCTTACCTTAGCTTTCCAAGTGCTGGGATTATAGGTATATGTCACCACACTCTTTTTAAGCCTTTAAATACAATCTATGCTAAAGAGTGTTTATAATCTGTGCTAGAGAATGTTCCACGTGCATGTGAGACAATCTATATTCTGTTGTTACGTATCGTATAGGTATTTGTTAGGTCTAGGTAGTTTATAGTGTTGTTCAAGTCTCTTGTTTCCTTGCTGATCTTTTCTGTTTAGTATTCAATAATGAAATTAGGGGATCAAAATTTTCAAATATTGTTGAATTGTCTCGTCAGCTTTTGCTTTATGTATTTGGGGTTGTTTTGTTAAGTGCCTATATATTTAAAATTGTTATATCTTCTTGATGGTTTGACCCTTTTCTCACTATAAAATATCTTCTTTGTGTATATTGAAAATTGTTTGTCTAAATATTTTGATTTGTTTTGTTTTGTTATTAGTATAGCCATGCCATATCTCTTTATCTTTACATGACATATCTGTTTTCATATTTTTATTTTCTCCTAATTGTGTCTTTGATTCTAAGGTTAAATCTCTTGTGGACAACATGCAGGAAGTGGGCTCATAAACAATATAGGAATCCAACCAGCCAAATTGATAAATTTGGAATTTAAATAGCTGAGCTTAGCGACCACTCACATAGAGTCCCGTTTCAGAGTCCTATGGAGTGGCACTGAACTGGAAAGTTACAGAACTTTTAAAACAGGGAACCACAGAAAGTCGTCCTGTTGGAAACAACTTAGCTAGAATCTTACACTAATGTTTGGTGGACATCTATATCCTGCTTCTTTGCTGAGCAGGTTAATTTTCTCCTGTGGGTGCAGCTTATTCTGCTTACCTCATGGGACTTGTACCCTGAGTGATTTTCCTTTTTTCCTAGGTCAAATACAGGGCACTAGTTTGATGCAGGGCTTAAGATAGCATCAGTTATGCCAAGCTACAACAACAGCTGCATCATTTTTGTTGGATTTTTGTTTTATCTGTTCTGCTTTTAATTGGAAAGCGTATCTAGCTATATGTACCTATGACCATACAGGCAAAAATGATAAAATGTTAGCAGGCCAAAAATCCATCCATACATATGTGTTTAATATAGCACATTTCAAGCCCAAATAGGCGTGTGAGCATATTTGAGCACTGGAAAACCATGCCATATGGTTCCTGACATTAATGGATTGAGTAAGATAAAGCATATGATTACAACAATGATGAGAAAACACCTTCATTTAAAATTCATTGCCTTTTCATGATTTTAAAAACAGCAGTAACAACAAAAAAAGATGAGCTGTAATCACACTAAAAGTGTACATGAACTTCTGGGGCTTGATAAAGGGTATCTTTTTTAAAAAACTTATTAATATCTCAGCTTCATGGAGAACTCAGGTTGGCCGATAATGTCGGAAACAAGGATGCCTACAATCCTCTTTTAAATCTAGAATTGTACTGGGAAAACTAGACAACAGAATAAGAAATTAAAAATGTTTAATTGAAAAAAATTAGCAACACTTACCCTTTTTTTGATGTTTTATTTTCACAAAAAGTCCAAGAGAATTGATAGTAAAGTTTTTTATAGTTTTGTGTTTTTCTAGAGAATTTAATTATGTCATAAAAATAAAAATAGAGGGGCTGGGGATTTAGCTCAGCAGCATAAGCGCCTGCCATGCAAGTGTGTGGTCGTGAGTTCGATCCCTGATACCGATAAAAAAAGAAAAAGAAATAAATAAATAAAAATAAAAATAGAAAAGTAATGTGATACTCAATTTTATCTAAATGAAGACTCTTATTAGTTGCTTTTACAATTTTGAGTGATGTTTTAAATCAAGTTGTATTTTTTTTTTTTCTCTAGAGCTACAGAGACTTCTGAAGTAGAGAGTCTACGACCTCCTCGATTCTTTAATGAAGATGGAGTTATCAGGCCTTACAGGTTGAGGGATGGTACTGGAAATCAAATGTTACAGGTGAGTGAAGATACATAGATTAAAATTTAAATACTAAAGTTAGATTTTTTTAAAAGCAGGTATTTAATCCTTTAAATATATATTAGCTTGTTTTCATTTTTATGTTTTGCTTAGTTCCATTTATAAGTTTCTTTTATTAGGCTTTCAAGTATATTTATTTACTATAAGTTTCTTTTTCTTTTTTACAGGCATCAAAAAAATTTGATATGAAAACATTTAATGCATGACTTTGCAAGTAAAAGCCAACAGTAGATTCTAGTCTTACAATTTTTACAAACTACATACAACCGTTTCACTATTTTGAATATTTTAAAAGTGCTTTTGTATTGGTAATTTTTAATAGAATTTTAATATATCTGATCTTTTTATAGATTATTCTTAGTTCTGCCCTAAAATTTGCTAGATTTGTTGAAAACCAAAGTGCCTTATGTAGCCTTCTAGTTAGTAGCATTTAGCCAGTCAAACTGGTTCTGTTTGGGGTTCTTCCTTCTATCTAACCACTGGTTTTTATATCACATACAATCCTTACATCTGGTCAGATGTGACAAAGGAAAAACAAAGCTCAGGAACAGTTTACAGATAATTCATAAGTTCTTATGCTTTGCTTTTTAACATGCTTAATGGCCATGATCTTCCTGCTTTGTTGTAGTGTAGTATATAGAAAACTTTGTGGAAGTTGATACCCAGTTCACATACAAATTGGTTATCTTTCATTAAGGCTAGATTTGGGGAAAGTAGTTTGTAAGTAAAATATTTTATTAATACAGGCAGCTTTCTTACTTAACAAATTGGACTTCTAAAAATCTGAGTTACGATGTCAGTAATGTCCTAATATATGAGGCCACATCAGTGCAGAGTTGCTGTGTGATATAGATGTGTTATACTACAATAAACCATTTTGTTTGAATAAAATGAGTATGTTGCATAAACTTGAAAATAGCACTACATCACTACTATATAGAAAACTTCCCTTATACCGTGGTATTTAAAATAGTTATGTTTAAAATAGCCAGGATAAATGTTTAAAACTTTAGTATTTCTCTCATTGCATGCAGAGCATATAACACTGCATCTTTCTGGTCCTTCTGTCACTATATTATAATGGGACCATTGAGCCTAATGTACAGTATTAGGTAAAGTGACTTGAAAATTTTCTTAAAGCATCAAAATACTTGCATATTGGAATAGAATTGGCATTCTATTGAAAGGTTGTACTTTAACAGACATATCATACAATCTCTACAATGATAAAATATCATTCTTTGAAGATAGGAAAGTTATAGAAATCATCTTTGGGTAATACAGTAGAAAAATTTGACCTAATACATACCTTCCCTTGTTAGAGCAAAAGTAACCTGTTGCTAACATTTTACTGATTAAAAGCCAAATGATTTTGAAGTCCCTTTTTAAAAACTAAGAATGTATCTTGAAAATTTTTTAATAAATTTATTAGGAGGTAAGTAATATTGAGAATTTAGAACTATGCATTGCATATATGGTAACTTACAGGAAAATATAAGTTACCAAAAATTTCTCGTGGATGATATTTTATTTCAGTTACAGATTTATTCTAAATCTTATTGTTTTCTGAAGCTCTAAATTTTGAGGTACACAAGCCTTTCTATTTTTAAAGAATTATATTTTTTTAGTAGGCCAGTCTTTGCCAGAAGAGAGATTTGAGGGGCTAAAATCTCATTGTCATTGTCAGCCATGGCTTATTTTTCAGCAAGTGTGTTAAGTACAACATCCCCTTGAGAACCAACAGGAATTGATGAGATGCCTCAGCATGTTTTCAGTTGCCATTATTCTCTTACCAGTGAATTACTGGTTTAGTGGCAGGATGCTGTTTAAATCAAAACTTGGTTGCATCATTAGCAAATGTTAAACCATATGAATGCCAGTACTTAGAAAAATAATTAGATGGCATATAAACTGGGTTTAAAGTCTCACCTAAGGAATTTAATGATGGTGCCTTAGAAAATGTTTCAACTCTTTATTTTTCATTTCCTAAAACAGATTCTGTACACCAAGTTATATATGCTCAGATGTAATCATTAAATATAAAGTACATTCTTTCATTATGTAATTTCCTATCCAGAAGGCAGCACATTATTATAATACTTCCTGGTAGTCAAAATTGCTTACTAGAAAATTAGTGTTTTATACGCTGAGTGTGTATTAACCACTTGAGCTTGGTCTTAGGCCTATTAAGTTATGAAATACTATATCCATAATTACAGCCTGAGTTACAGCTACTTGTTCCTCAAACATTTTATAATTTTATGTTTTCCAGGCAATCTTACGCACTTTACTAATCTTTACACTTCTCTTTCCCTTTACCATGCTTACAGAAAATTCAGGTCTACAGGGAATGGCTTATGACTCTTAATAACAGTAGTGATGATGATGATGATGCTGGTGATGATTAATCAGATCTAATCTGTTAAAATGCACACACTTTACCATTTTACTCGGGATGTTTCCTTAAAGTATTTTGAATGACTGCTATCATAAAGCCTGTATGTCCATTTTAGGGAGGTAAAATGTTTTTCTGAACATCATGTAAAGCAAAATAATTGCATTTTTTTCACATAGAAAAAATGTATTTTACATCCAGAGTAGCTTATACTGTATATTACAGATTTGCTTTCATATATTTCATAACTTTGTATTAAGCTTGTCTTTAAGATTTTAAAGTTATACTCCAATATGTTTTTAATGCTCAGTAGTTTAATTTTAAAGTGTCTGTTTGTTTGTTACCAAAATGCCTTTTTTTAATTCTGTAAATTTCCGAGCTTAATACTGTTGTGTAACAAAAGAGATTAGTAATAGCCATTCGATGTACTATGCTTATCTAGCACTTAAAAGATATTTTTGTCCACTTTCTGTTAATAATAAACACACATAACTTGAAGTAGTGTGAATTTGTTATTCTATTTCAGAGTCATATGTGTTGGAGTATTTCACTGTTACAAAACATTCATGATTTGTCACAGAATAGTCTAAGGAAAACATTGATCTTTTACTTTGATTCACATTTTATCATATTATAATTTTCTAAAAGAATGAGCAAAAGTGAGTTTTAATTACATCTGTTAATAAATTAATTCAAGACTTAGGAGAATGTTTATAATAGATACAATGATGGATATGTTATGTGTGTCTCTAAAAGATTCCTAAGTGAGTCTGTTTTACATTTTGTATAATGTAAAATTTTTTAAAATCTCAATTTAGATTAAATCTAATTGTTCTGTTTCACTAGTAACCAGATGTACTAAAAAGGAAATCAAAACCAAAAAACACCTCTAAAAAAAGAAAGATTATTAATAATTACAGTGCTTAATTCCTTATCATTATTATGCTTATGAATCGACAAGGTATTATTTACCTCAGCTCATGTTAAATGCTTTGCTTATACTTTGCTGTTTTTTATTGGTTATAGAAGATTATTGGCTTAACTTAATTCAACTCATGATTTTGGAATTTTAAAAATTCTTTTGTAAAACTTTTATTTCTATAAATCTTTATGTTCTTTGAAAATAACTACTCTAGCTTTTAAAAAATTGAGTTCTCCAGAAGCAAAAAAGGAGCAGCTAGAGTATCATTTTTGAAATTTCTACTTACATAACATTCATTCAAATTAAAATAAATTAAGGGAACATGTAATGTGTTAGAACTAAGAAATATGGAAAATTCATAGAATTTAATTATTCATGCACAGTACTATTTTTGGATTAAATAAAAACAGTGACCATTACAGTAGTCACAGCAGGAAACAATTTCTGTCATGCATCTGCTGCTCTCTTATTTTGAAGTTGGCCAAAATCTGCTCCTTTTCCAAAACTACTACTCCTTCTAGAAGCTAGCCTGAGGAAAGAACAGCCTTGAAATGTCTTTATTGGCTTCTTATATTCCAGCTTCACCAGGCACAAGATCTTTGTAAAAGAGAAAAGGTTAGTTTTCAGGACATTTGCTGAGTACCAGTTTCTATTTAAGAATTTATCTAGAAAAAGTTCTGTTCTTTTCAGCAGTGTCTTGCCATTGTAATGCAAAGAAAATTGGAAATAGGATTGTGTTTATTTAAAATCTCTTCACCAGTAAAAAGACAGTGCTGTAACTAGTAAACTTTATTGATGTGGGGTCTTAGGGTTTCATCTTTTTTTCAATTGACTTCAGAAGTAAAATATTTTGTGTAACAATATATTTGCCAAAACATATTCCAGTTATATCAAATACTTTGTTGTTTTTATTACAGGAAAATTTAACACTGAAAATTGTTCTGTTTTTTATAACATTGTTTTCTTGATGGAGGTACAGGACTGAACAAAAATATTTTCTTTTTCTTCAAATAACACAAAAAGACTTCACCTTGGAGGTTTTAATGAAGTGAAATATTCTGTGTTAATGGCTGTATCACTAGTTGCTAACAGTAAAGTCTAGTGAGAAAACAATGTTGGAATATCTTTTCGCTTTTTATATTCTGGATTTCTACATACATTTTTAGAAAGTGGGAAGAAATATCCTCTCTTCCCTAAGAGAGTTATTATACTTTGAAACATTTTTATTTTCACTTGTATGCACTTTACCTTGAATAGTGTATTAAAAACTGGCAGAAATAAAGCTTCGTGTAAAAATTCTGGAATTGTACATAGTGATGGCCATGAATAAATGTTTATAAGAGACTATAAATGAAATTAATCAGCTTTCACATTGGACATAGGTAAAACAAATGCATTTTAGCTTTTGAAATCGTTCAAAACACTTTTTGAAGCAATGCTGAATGTTAACTTTAAGATCATGTTATTAAATATACAGTTAAAGTCATCGTAGATTTATGACTAAGATGTTAATGTTCAGTATGAAAAAATAAGATACTGTATTTTGTTTCAAAGTCATATACATAAAAGAAAATTACAACTTACTACCTTAAGTCCTATAAAGAAATTTTACATTAAAATTTTCTGTACGGAAAAAAGATCAAAAACAACCATTCCAACTGA